CCATCCCACAGCTGAAACTGTTCAATCCTGTCCCATCACTTTACAAGAAAATTTGTCCATTGCCTTTTCACTGCTTTTGTTATCCTCAAATGGTTGTCAAAAGAAGTGATGGAATAACAACCAACACTGTCAAACATTTAAATCCTTTTTAAATTCCAGTCATTAGAAGACATTATTTCCCAGTATGTTTGGAATTTAATGAAAATGTATCACTCTTTTAAATTTAATTTTCTTTACTCCTTTATTGTTCTGCAGCTCACATTGAGAATGAGCTTCTTTTCCTTGAAAATATTGCTGACTTAGGCTGAGAGTGTTGCGTACTAGCAGATGTCTAGTACTGGGTGTAATGGTACAGAGGCAGGGACATAGGTGAGAATCCCTAGATACCTCACCTAACTTTGCCTTCAGTTTCCCCACCTGTTAGATAAAATTACTCTTTTTCATTATTTGTACAACCACGTTACCTAAAGGCCTTCAATCCAGACCAAGATTCCAAGTTCCTAGATGCCGTACATGGGTAGTAAGTGGCAAATGACACTGAAGAGGTTGCCAAGCTACAAGGACGGAAGAGATTTTGAGAGGAAGCAGAGTAGAAATGCTACATCCAAGGTCATTTTAGCAGAGTGGTGGTAGCTGGGAATGAAACAGGTCTCCCGTGTGCCAGCCCAGCCCAGCCCAGCCCAGCCAGTCCCCTCTGGATCAAGCTGCCTCTGAGAGCTGTACCCAAGCAGATTTGATCTTGACCATCAAATCATGGGCTTTTTGCTTCTTAAATACTCCATAAATTTGGGCCACCCACTATTTGCTTTTAAAAAAAGACCAATTACCCTTGGACCAGGTGTATCTTGTACACCTCCCACAAAGTGCTGGTACACCTGGTACACCTCCCACAAAGTCCTATTTTACCGAACAGACAATCTGCAGTGAAAAAATAACCCTAAGTTTTTGTATGCTGCTATTTCCAGTATTTCATTTTCACAGCCTCTGCTGGAAGCACCCTCTTCAGAGTCACAAAATTTTCTTGTTTTTCAAAAAAGTGCAAACATTTCTCTCATGGGCTTAAGGCCTTGCTGCACACATCTCTTAAGCAAGGATTTAAGCAGAATGGGTACAAATTTAGGAAAATACCCTTTAATACAGGAGCCAGATGACCACAGCATTCACCAGCTCCCCTAGTCAGAGTTCACCCTGCTCCTATCCATGGAAATTATTCACCTAAATGCCTTGTCTATACAATCTCCTTTTATCAGTGAAAGGCATAGTGGGTTCCCTGCCTCTGAACTTTCCAATGAGTTCAAGATCAGGTAATGTTTGGTACTTTATAAAACTTCAGCTACTGCTGAATTTCTTTAATTTAGTCTCCCCTACATCACCTCACATGACAGAAAGCACCCTTAGATGCTGTTGTGCTGCAGTAAAAGATGATTTAGTTTTGTAATTTTCTGCTCTTTTTGATCGGTGCAATTTTGAAAGAAAAACACCTAGCATTTTAATCACTTGTGACTTCTCCTACGATTTAGTCAGAGACTTTCACTTGCAAGTTGTGGGCTCAGCCCAGGGCCGAGGTGATAGTGATCGAAAGCCGCTTCTGACCCACATGTTGCTGATAGTGAAAATGAAGTAAACTACCAATGCCTAGAAAATGTCTGCTCAGGGTACTCTCAACAACTGCCCCCAAACAGAGACAAGAACTAACCAGGAACAAAGCCTGAAAGAATTTTCACTTAGAGGTTCAGCAACATTGGGGTTGACTCACATTGAGGTACCACATTCCCAGAAGGACCTCCTCCCACCAACCCTGCCACTATGAGGAGGAAAGATCTGTTCTGCTCCATAAAGGATCTCTGTTGCAAAAATCCTTTTCAAACTCATCACTTCAGAGGAGAGGGAAACAGCTCTGCAGGACAACTTCCTACCACTTCTGCCCAGGCCAGGGGAAGCAGCCAGCAGGACTTTGATGCTATCTCTACCTTCATTTTTCAGCTCAGATGACTTGAATTAGGCAGAACCACTGAGTGAAAGGAGGGTGCTGCTGACCACAGGTGTCAAAACCCCCTCTCCCTTCCCTCTATTAATGGCGGTCATTTTTACTTCATTACAATGTCCTTGTCACCTGCCTGGCACAGAAAAAAATATTACCAGAGTGATGCCCAGGTAAGCAATGCATGGATGGTGCAGAGGTTCATACTCATCCATGTCCTCAACAGCAGGTCTGCTGGCCAAGGGGAATTGTCTGGGGCTGACACTGGCACACCCATTCTGAGAAGTATTCTTTTCAAACCTTCTGCAGAGGGTACAAATCTCTGTGTCTCATTGCAATCCTGAGCTCATACCAAGGATCAAAAGAGCTTCCTTCTCTGAGAATTTATGCCAGTGTGTAGGGTATGTTAGATAAACTGCCTGCCATTATCCTGCTATCACTCCTACTCTAGTAAAAGAGGACTATGTTACAGTTTAGTTTTTGTTGCTTTAAAACTATCCTGAAGATAATATACAAAAAAGAAACCTAACAATTTTTTTTCTTATTGCAGAATAGGAGTACCCCTAAGGGCAAGGTATACCTATAAAATTATTATAATGCTTTAACTGCATAAGCACAACTGGAAACATCTTCTCTGAAAACAAGTCGTAACTCTATTTTCCTATCTGCAGCCATTATCCTGATAAATTTGGGAAGGTCATCTAAGGTGTAATCCAATAAAGGTGCTGATGTTCTGAGTAAGTACCTCACAATTTGCAGCCTAATCTATTATCCTACTATAAGACTATCAAATGACTCACCAGTTTTAATACTTAGTACATATCAAACAAAGGAAAATATCAAAGCTTTACATTCTAGTTCCACCTTTCAAGGACTTGAGTAGTCTTTAATTACAGCAGATGATACATTCAACTCCAGCGTTTTCTTTCTCTAACAACTATACTTAGAAGTTGCTGTAGCTGTACTTTTCACAGAACATCATTACATTAACCCATAAATCCTGAAAAGTCTGATAAACTGAACAAAGAAAGTAGGGATTTTAGTAGAAGATCTCAGAAATGAAATTCAGCTTCTTCTGCCTGCTGGATCACACACAGTGATTGTGATGCACCAAGGAGCAGCAGCATCACTCCTGGGTAGGAGGACAAGTCCTCAGTGCCCCCACCTGAACTGTGGGCAAGAAGCCATGGGAACAAGCATGTGCACTGAGCAGCACACATCATCTTGAATGCTGATGAACTTAAGCAGTCAGATCAAGTCCAAAACTTGGTCTATGCCTTCCAATCCTCCAGAAAATGAAGCACACCTGCAGAACTTTCTATTTGAACACTGTGATGTTTTTTTTAAATGTTATAGGAACAAAATAAAAGTTAAAAAAAAAAAAACTATTCACAGAATATCTGATCTGAAAAGAAGCATCAGGAGACAGTCAGCAGTACTGTCCTCAAACTGCAAACGCTCAGCAAAGTGGTTACAGAAGGTTACAGAAGTTATATGCTGGAGCTGACCTCTGGCATTGCCAAGGAAAATGGCAGTAAAAATTTCATCCAATGTTTTGACACTATAAAGCCATTCTCAGTAACAGTATGCATTCTTACGTGTCTGGCCCACGCAAACAAAATGAACATGGGTTATTTGACATTGTGCCTGAGCACTTTCACTGTTACAACTGTCTCATTTATCACAACAACAAAAACCCACTGGGAAAAGGACTAAATTGTATCTGGTTTATGCTGTTGCTCTTTTTGACTGGCTGACCCAGATCAGACTGTTCTTCAAGGACAAGTCTGTAAGTTTATGCAAGAGCTGTGCACATGCTGCGGGAATAAAAGAAGAGTTTATCAGGAGATCCCTGCAGAAGGGCTGGAAACCACACAGGCCACCATGCCAGAGCCTCTGTGTGCAGATGGATGCTTTCAAAAGTGCGCAAGTATGTTTTAACTCTGCTTTTGCTAAGCTCACAGGCTTAAACAGGGCAAATCTAAACAAACTAAAAGCTACTTTAGTTCTGCTGCAAAGGTACTGGTTCTCAAGTGCTTAAAAGAAATGCAACAATGAAAAGAACCAAAAAACCCACTAACCAAAGAGAAGGCCTGTTTTGGTAATGGGTGTGACCACATCACTCAGCTACCACTTTGATACTTTTGATTTCTGAGGTTTTATTCAGGGCTGACATTGGTAAGACAACATGACATACGTATAGCTGCACACATACCTACAGACCCATATACAAGTAAGAAATTAGGCCAGTCCTGAGATTAGGAAGCAAAGGCAGAGTACAACTGGGCACAAGTACGTCTGGGATGATTTTACAAGATCTCAAGAATTGCCCTTTATAAAGTGCCACTGGGGTGTCATACTTCCTCTGATAAATAGATCACATCTCACCAGAACTTAAATAGCTCCACTTAAGCACTACCTAGACAAGTGACAAAAACTAGCTGAGCTGCTGTCACCCCTGCAGTCCTTGTCTAGACACAGCAGAGTAAGTGCAAATTCCAGTCTGCCTTGCTGGGCTACAGCCACCCTGACAGCTGAGCTACGATCCAAGACACTTCATCGCCACTGATTAGATGACAAAGACAGAAGAAAACAACTTGAGACATGGATATCTGGGTCTTTCTGTCAGTGTGATACATTAAAAGTTAACAAAACAGAAAAACAACAAGGGAAAAAAGCCTAACAGTACTTGTGAACTGAGCAGGTTTTAATTCACAAGCTATTGTTGGTGGAAAGTCAAGGCAAATTAAATATGATTTTTTGCAAGTATTTTCCTAACAATCTCCATGGCAATCTAGCAATCAGGATCAGAGGCCCTTCGTTCAGAGGTACGGCAGCTTTTGAGCCAGTGCCCCCTTCAGAGTGACTGCGCCCTTCTCTCCATTGACAGCCACATCTGGATGCTATCACTAGGAACTGGCATGCCTGTTTGCAACAAATACCAAGTGGTTAACAAATTGACTCCAGCAGTCAATGCTGGCCACTTTCCCACTCTCTGTTTACGCAATATGCCACTAACCTGTTGAGTCCGAGGTTTGTAAGGAGAGCTGCTCTCTAGGTCAGCCAGGATGCTCGTTAGAGAGTCGATTTCTGCATCTAAACTGGACCGCCTCTCCTCAAGTGTCTTGCCACCAGGATTCACCTGAAAGAAGAAAGGAGAGTTCCAGTTATTTAAACCACTTGGCCTGCCACTTGGTTTCATATTGTCCTAATAGAGCTTCTACCATGCCCAGCAGTAAAAACTCTTGGGTTGCAGGGAGAAACATGCTGAAATGCTGTAGCTGTCCCCCAGAACCAGCAGCTAGCCTCAATCTAACAAGGATTTAGGCTACTTTGGTTTTTTTCTTAATGTTGTTCCCACAACGGTCCTATTGTGTTAAATTGACTTCCAGAATTATGCAACCCAGTGTGCAATCTGCTGCCAAGGTGAAGAGGCAGGACAGTTTCCACTCCCACAGATAGAGAAGACGTATTTTAGAAAGATGTCTGGCTGGGCAGCCAAAGATGCCATGTTGCCATCCAAGGCAAAGCAAACACAGCAGAGCTGCAAGCCACAGTGGCCAGCACCTGGCCAACTGCACCTATTATTATTTCATATCAGTTTGTGGTGGCTGTACCTGTATGATTCAAAATTTCTTCACAAGTTTCATCTAAAAAATGAGCTCCTCCAAGGCAGACTGAAAAAGTTCAATTCATTCCTAGCAGATTCAAGGTGAGTGGCATGATTTGTGATAAGCAATCACAAAGTAACATAAATAAGGTCCTTGTGAAAAAGGCTATTAGACAGGAAAGCCCATGCCCAGAACAAGTATGAACATACAGGCAGGACCCTTTCTGATTCAAAACATCTTCTTTCCCTCTGTTTTCAAAACAGCACAGCCTCACTTGTGCTCAAGATAGGGATGCTCTTGGAAGGGAAACCAAATCTCTTGAGACAAATGAAACCTACACACTGAAAGTCTTTCCTAATCCCGAGTAATTTTTCTTTTGTCCTTCCATTTCTGATTTACCTGCAAATTCCCCAGAGTCTCTCTGGTGTACATGCAACTACAGAGTTTAGTGCAGAAGATCTCATTCACAGCTTGACTACTACAATAACAAAACCACCAAAGATTTACCTAACAACTCACCTAACTTCAGCTGGAAAGCCTGTTCAGACCATAATAGCACCTCTGCACAGACAATCCAGCTCTGTTTCCCTTCACTCTCACCAAGTTACTTCAATTTTCCAAGCCAAAATTTTACCTTCTCCTTTGTCTCACTAGCTCACACACAGTTTTTATTTAAATTTCATTTCAGAAGCATTCAATCATTACCTGTTTTACAGAACTCCCCAGTCATCAATCCAACACATAAATGGCAGGCTGGTCAAAGAGAGGCAGACTATGCAAAGCAGGCAGGCTCTGATCTGCCAAGCTTATACGTGCTGAGGCACTCATTAGTTCCTAATGATTATTAAATCTTATTGCATTACAATAAATTTGTCTTGACTAACAAGAAAGTGGAAGCTCCAATGTGCTTTATGCAAGAACATGTCACTTGAAAGGCTGAGAGTCAGGTTAGAAACTACTTACAAACTCAACTCTTCTTGCCTATTTTTATTATAGAGCCAAAGTTTTTCCATCCAAGCTGTTGCTCAAATACTTTTCACAGGAATTATTCAGATCATTATTCCTGGCTAGCTGTAGCCACCTGGATTTTTTAATCTGCAAAATTACAATTTCCTTTCCACTATTAGTGCAGTTCATGGCTCTTGCTTGGTTCTTCTTCACCTTCCAGTTTCTGGCCTATAATTACATGGCAGCCACAGGCTTCCAGGACACAAAACCTAAGATTGCTCCACTTCAGAGAATTTTTAAGACAAGCAGCCAAAAGCCAGTGTGGAGAAGGGCGGGAGATGCAAAGGGCACCCAAGGCCCCAACATTTGAGGTGATACATCAAGTCAAAGGCAGGCCCACTAGAGTCCACACATGGCCTGTTCAGTATTCTGATCCTGGAGAGGAGGGATAGTGGCAGGTGAGTAGATCAGCCAATTTCATTTCTGCCTCTTAGCCTTTCTGGGCCATATTATTCCCTGGTTCTCAGTCCCCAGAACAATTATGCAACAGCTGACTAGCAAATGCTGCAGAACAAGTTGTAAGATTGTAAAAGTTAAATGTCCTTTGGAAACCTGGAAAAATAAAATAAAATAGCATGGAAACATCTCTATTGCTTCTGCATTCTGTAAAAGATTTAGTTATTCAACTAAAACATAATCAACATAGATTAAGAGTCCAGTTCTACAAATGCTGGAGCACAAGGCAGTATGACAGTCCCAACGAATAACACTACTAATGTGTGTAAGGGCTTTTTTGACTGGACTTTAGGTACATTTAATAAAAGGCAATCCTCAAAAACACAGGTTTCTGATTGCTCTCTCTTCCTCATCTCCACAAATCTTTTTCTCCCCACATTGCTCCAGATCCAACCAAGGAATTTGCTGCACATAGAAACAAGAGAAAAATTTGCAAAGCTAACTTTAGCAAGAGGATTAAGCTGCTTCTCTTCTCATGCTCTTCATCATGATGTTGCTATAAAAGTTTTATGATATTGCTCTGGAACAAACCTCAAGCACCACGTCCCAAAGCACAACAGGTTCGCACAGGCATGGCTCTGCTCTGAGGAACCCAGACTGGTTAAGCTCATGACCTCACAGATACAAACATCGGAACCAGAAAGAACTCCTAATTCTATTTCTGTCTGGATTTATGGCATTGTTGCAGACATGTTGCTTGTGCTCTCGCCCTTTCAGCGAGCAGAATATGGAAAAAACTGGTTTAAAAAGAAAAAGGATGCTATCCTTAGTCTGGCCAACGCAAGTTCAACAAAAAGCAAACAAGCCAGCCCAGTCCAACAAATTATACATGCCAGAGACTATCCACTCACGTGAACTTCTGCAATGCCTACACTCCTATCCCTTGGCTCAGTTCCTGCTGTGAGGCAAAAGACAGAAAAACAGCAGAGAGCTTCACTGTTTGGCTTGTTTGCCCACTCCTGAATTCCTGGTGTGCAGTCAGAGCAGCTGTGATGGTAATCCACTCCTGAGCCCTGTCAATCCACTCTGTTCTGATAAAAACTGGCTTTAATTTTGCTAATCCTGCCACCCAACACTAGCCAGTGCCACAGGTCCCCCCACAAAACCTCAAGGGGCATCATTACAGAATATGCAGTGTAGACAGCAATGCATGGCCTCAAAGTTTGCCTCACTGGACTAAGAAAGGAAGTAAGATTACTCACCAAGCTAGAAGACATGAAAAGCACAATAATTTCCCTAGATTGACACCTTTTTTGACAACCTAGATCACCTACTCTTATCACATTTTGCAGGTCACAGCAAGGAAATAAGAATGCTTCTCTTTTGCCTAAGACAGCTCCTTGCAATGTGCTCAAAGAGAAGAATCTGTCTCGCAGATGTCCTTCCTAGCTCCTGCTCCAAATTCCTTTCCCTACTCACACCCAGCTGCTTTTCTTTTATCCTCCATTTTCCCCTCTCTCCATTCCCTGTTTGTTGCCATGCAGTGCTGCAGCTTGGGACAGTCATTAGCCTCTGGGATGAGAGATGCGAGGTGGGCTGCCAGGCTGGCCTCTGAGCCTCTACAGGAAATAGAATTGATACCCATGATGTTGCTGTGCCAGGAGAAGATGAAGGGTGGCTTTTCAGCAGCAACTGCATGACTTACATGGTCAGCAGAGTAAAAGTAACTCCAGAGTCCCAGCGTATATTTTCTGCTAACACAAGACAATGACCAAACCCCTGAGTGCTTTCAGAGAATCAGGACTTTGCTCACTACACTGCACCTTTTCAGCACCAAAATCCACCTTCTCCCCATCCACCTTAGCCTTGCTCAAGTCTTCTCTAAAGTAGGTTGAGTTGAGCGCATTTCATTAGCATTGTGGCCAGCTCATCCTCTGACAGATCCAGGAACATGAGCTGTCGTTACTGGGAAATGCAGTGCTGTTATGTATGTACAGACACATTCAAGACAGCAGAGCTACAGCTAGACACACAACCTTCCTTGTAGCATCAGCTTGCTCTCTGCATCCTGCTATCACAAGTCACTGATAACCTCCTAACTCACAAGTGGAAGAATGGAGATGAACACCATGGATATTAAGAAAGGTCATAGCTAATCACTCAAAACAAATGGGCTGGGGGCCTCCAGTGCCTACTGCTCCTGGTACATTGTTTTCACTAGGAGCCTGAGGTGTTTGGGGAGCTCTCTATGGGCTGTGACAGGTCAACACTGTCTGCATTTATACACCCCAGCAGCAAGCAGAAAAGCCCTTTGCAGCAAAGACAGTCATGGAAAGGAAGGGTGAAAGTAACAGAAGCAAGGAAGAGGAAATTTAGGCAAATCAGGGGTTGTGAACACGTATATAGCAAGTAAGGACTTTTGCCTTGAAAGAATTTATTTTCTTTTCCTCCAGTAAATTTCAGTGAACTACAGACAAGGTTGCACCCACAACAGCCACCTGCCATGCTCTGCAGGCTGTCGAAATCCTTGAGTAGGCACTGAGGAGGTAGGAAGAGCAAATGAAACAGCTCTCCAAACAGTGAGTTAGCATCTCTTTCTACTGCATGGCCTCAAGTGCTGGGCTTAGACAGAGCCACAGCCAAAGAAGGATGGGGCTCTTATTTTCTGTTTTAGCTAGGGGTGGGCTGGGGAGAGGAGGGAAAGATGTTTGATTTTTCCAACAACACCACTGCCAGAGGCAAGATCCTTCTGGGACACACACCTTCGCCACCCCATCTCTCTTCCTGTAGATTTCCCAATGAATTATCTCCAGGGTCACAAAAGCTGTCTAAAGCCCCAAAAAGCACTACAGTGGCAAAAAGATGCATCCTCTATCAGGTAAATGAGGCACCCTGAAGATGAGCTGCTCTGTCTATTTCTCCCCTGAGCCTAAAGACAAGTGCAAACATTTTCTTTCAAATTCCCTAATGTAAATTAAAACAGTCCCAAGAGGCTACCCCACCAAGCATGCACATGGAGGCAAGAGCTGACTGAAGCATTCAGGGCAAGGGGGGTCTAAGGTTGACTGATGCCTAACCACTGTTCCAGGCACCAAGGAGGGACTGGAAAACTAGCTGTGCCCTTTAA